TCTTTAGTTCAAATCAAAAAGCCGTCTTCAAGAAAGTTGTTCGTTAACTCGTTAAATACAATACATCCAAATATGAGATCCATAGGAGCTGTATAACTTCAGAAACTCAGGTATAATCAGTGACTGCTCAGCACTCGTCTGTCAACCAGTCAGGTCTGTTGTGAGCTTCGAAACTACGTTTTCTCTTACTCATATCAAAATACTTTCTTCATAAAAATTGTTCCTTATTCTCTCTACCTTAACATATCAAAGTCTCAGAAAGATCTAACTGTCCATTCATTACAGAAAGTCTCAGAAAATCCTCATAAAACCTTACAGTCATGTTTGGAGCTTAAAAATCCAACTTACTGTGATCAAACAAAAACACTTCCTTCACAAAAATTATTCCTTATCATCTCTTCTATAAATTATCCAAAAAGCTCGACAACCTAATCTGTATGTTGGCCTATACATCAGTTTGAGCAGCTTATGTAAGGTTGAGCTGGCCTTCTCAGCCAGCCTCTTTGGCCTACATCTCCATTTTATCTTGCTCACCAATTCTACTCCTGTTACATATGCAAATTTTCAGCTATATTAAAGAAGATAAGGGTTTGAAGAAAAGCATAAAAGGAGGAAAGAGAAAGAGAGGTGTCGAGGGAGTTGTGAAAGGCAAGGAAAAGAAAAGAAAAGAAAAGAGTATGAGCAACAAGTTAATAAAAATGAAAACAACAGAGAGAGAGAGAGAGAGAGAGAGAGAGAGAGAGAGAGAGAGAGAGAGAAGAGTGTTGTTTTGTAGTTTGTCATCTGTGATAAGAGAAAGAAGGGGGTGTTTGTGGGAAGTGAAGGTGTGAGAATAGCCTACCGGAAGGGAAAGAACTGGAAGAAAAGAAAGAAAATAATGAGGTTTTGGAAGGTTGGGAGAGAGTTGAAAAGAAAGAAAGTGGTAAGAAGGAGTCGGTTAATGAGAAAAAAAAATGTGAGTTGGAGTGGGTAAAAGGGTTTTGAATCTGATCCACACTAAAAATAAAGAACAAGAATTAATGAAAGGAGAAATATACGAAAGTGTTAAAATTGAAATAATGAAATTTTAAGGAGAACAACAACATGATGGTAATATAATCTTTTACCTATTTAACTTTAATTCTTGCTGATATCATTTTATTCGACGTTAATGATGCTTTATGTGTTTGGATTGATAAATGAATTATTGTTTTACACTTTACATTTGGATAATCATGAGAATATTGGCTTTCATATGTTGCTTTAAATATGCATAAGCATTCATGAAAAGCAAGACAAAGAGTTGAAAGATCTCATCTATAAATATCCAAGCTAGGGTTCCCTCTAAGGAGATATAACGCATATCTGATATCTCATCTAACATGTACATGCTCAAACACATCTCTACATGCTCATCCAACTCATGCATGGAACTATTTGATTCTCCCTTTTTGACGAGGAGATATGTAGGCAATCATTTTCGAATTTAGTTACATCCCCCCAAACAATTCTCCTATTTATCGATATTCAAGAGATTCCAACGATTATTCGTATATCAACGATTATGCGCGAATTTGATTCCAACAGTAGGAATAGTAATGTATTTCTACAATGTAAGATGTAATTCATGCCGTTTGTGTTTACCACATGGTTTGTTTACCAAAAACAAAACAAAGCAAAACACAAAAAAAAAAAAAAAAAAACCCACATGATTTTCAGATTGGGCTGAGTTTTCCTGGTTTCTTGATTAATTTTTCCTACTATTTTGGGCCTGGCCCAGTAGATTTTGAGCTTTTAGTCAGTAATTACCTTTTTTTCATTAAAATAAAAAGAAAATGAAACTAGAACCAGATCTAACCTCTAACATCTAACTTACTTACTTTATTGTTTGATTCACAGAACCAAAACTGGACTGATTTGATTTGATTTGAACAAGAGAAGAGCATGGTTGGGTTCCACCATTCCAGTTCTAAAAGGGAAACTGAACTAGGTCGGTTCGTTTTGTCGCCGACATTACTGTCGATATAAACTCTAGTTCCACGAAAACTGGAAAACCCAAGACCTGAAATTACATAAAATTCAAAAGAACCGAGAGTTTACAAAAGAAGGCGGCAAGCTGCAATGTCAACTGCGGATGGCGATGTCTCAGAAAGCCTCTCAGATATCGACGACTCCGAGGTATGCAGATAAAGCAGGCATTGCTTTCTTATTATTTTCGTTCAATTTTCTGAAATGTTTTCGTCGAATGGTGTCTGCCCATTCTCCATAAGTTGATGAATTTTAGGTAGGTGCTCAAATATTTCGATGATAATAAGAATTTTTAGTTTGCATGCGACGTTGTTGGAATTTTATTTCGTAGTTATTGTGAAAAGTTCAGTTCTTGGTTCATGACAATCGACCACATTTTCCATGTCTGATAATTAAGGGGATAAATTTAATCAAACGCAAAAGCAGAGATCCTGAAAGTTACACCCACCTGCCCATCAGAGAACACTTCCATCATAGCCCACTCGGTAGTCCGTATGGCGATTTGGATTCCTATGCGATTGTTGCTTCTATTTTTCGTTTGTGAATTTCGATATGGAAGAACTCATGCTTCTGTTTTTTAGGTTGCTGGGTACCTTAACAGCAAGGAGGCGGCGCGGTTTAAAAGATTCATTTGGGAAGTACTTAACAAGGACTACGATCAGGTAATGCCTTTGCAAGTTTATAAGTTTTGGCACATTTGTTTTCACAAGGATTTGGTGCAATGTTAGGCAATTTCGTAGTTTCTGTTTGTTCGATGGTTTTGTTCTTATTTTTCGTCTATGTTTTTTATGGCCACGACTGTTCAGAGTGAACGATTGAGGGGATTTTGCATTTGATCATGACCGTACTAGTATACATTTTCCTTGTATGGGTTTCTGGTTTTCTTCCTTCCACTCTTTGCCTCTGCATTCTTCCTTTACTCTTTAGCTCTGTGATTTTTTGGAAGTTCTTAACTCAATTCTTTCTTTGTAGTACTTCTGTACTCTCTCTTTTCGTACTTGATTCAAAAACCCTAATCTTTGACCTCTCTTTGCTTTCTGGTTTCTCTAACTTTTAACCCCCAAATTCAAAAAGCATGCTCCTAACTAAAATTTGCAACAAACAGTTTGTCTTCCAGACAATTAACTTGTTTTTAGTCCTAATCTTTGAAACTATGGCTAATCTACGAACAATACTTCTTTTAAGATCCTAAGCACATAAAACAACAAATTCTGAATCCTTAAGCCCCACTAAATAGGCAATTTCAGTTATGATAGAGCACATGTCTTGGAACTGGTGTCTTGCTTGCACTTTTTATGCATTTCGTTGCAGTAAAATCATTCCTTTCAAAGAAGGACCTTCTAACCAAAATCTTGAATTTATTCATTATATCACTGGATATGGCTAGCTTAGCTATGTGGTTTATCCCAATATTGACTTCATTTGAGTTTATCTTTGCATTTTTCTAGACTGTCATGTGTGCATTGTTCTCTAAAATGTATGCTTGGAAGATTCATTCAGCTTATTCACCATTCTTCGTCGTTTGTGCCTAAATTCTCAACTGTTATTGGAGTCACACCTGCTTACAAATTAGTATTTTTTTAATCTTATCTGCATTTGATTTATTTTTTAGTTTTTCCCTTTTGTTTATCTGTCTTTGTGTTACTGCCAGCATTGAGCCTTACTTATTGATTTCTAATTTTCTACATACAATGGATAAATTTGGCAGGGAAAGAGTAGAAAACGAGCCAGAAAAGCCAAGAAAGCTGCACCTGCAGAAAAAACCGCCAAAGTTTCTACTGTGATAAATAACAAGGAGGTAAGGGAATTAGCTGATGGATATGCTTCGTTTAAGTATTATTCCTCCAGCATGATGCAACTTATATCTTACCCAACAATTATTTACATGGCATTCTTTTTTCGCAGAGGCTGAGTTCGAAAATCGACTTTGATGCTTTGAAGAAATTAAATGAAAAGCTTCTAAGTATCTTTTTACTGGCTTATTTTAGAATCATTCTTGCTTTACTCATAGCTCTGCAATTCGTATATTATGTTGTCAAACATTATATGTCTCGTTGCCTGTGAACCTAATGCAGATTGCAAAAGACTAAAAAAGCCAAACAAACCTGGTAGACTAATAGTATGTCAAACTTTGATAGTCGTCACATGTTACTTGTTTATGTCTGGTCAGTCGGCAGACACCAATTTTTGTATAGTGGAATAAAGGTCTATCGAAGTTGTACAAGCTATGGCAGGATAAAACCTAAATATGTGAAACCATGATCTTTATACAGGTTGTTTGCTAATCGAGCAGCTAATGGAAGACTTGAGGAAATAGGAAATGTTATATCTCGTTATATGGTTGATAGTTTTTTTGGCCATATATAATAATTTTGCAATTGTAATTCCTTGTTAGGAATCCTAAGAGGTTTTAGAATGTCTGTTTTTACGAGCAACGGCAAGAACTTGTCAATGTATCCTGAATTTGCTTAATCTGACCTTTTTCTCCGTCTGTTTTCAGGGACCTGGATTTGAAGAACGCAAGGAGTCTAATTGCGGCAGTGGTAAGCAGCTGTCAAATCAGAAAAAGATTCATTTTGAAGTTAGTCATGATGAGGAGCTCGAACATGAAAATATGTACAGTGAAGAGGCTGAAGCCGGAGAAGGCTACGACGATGATACACATGTTGCAAATGACGAATATAATGGATACAATTATGATGAAGAATACAATTACGATGAGGGATATAATAACGACGATGGATATGATTTTGACGAATTGTGACTCAAATGGTCAATGTTGTTTTCTTGATTTTGGTTAACTTTTCGTGATTCAGTGAATTCATGTTGTGATCGAAGGGTTAACTGATTATCTGTCCTGTTTTTTGAGAATTTTTTGAGAAGCATTTACTGGTTCTTAACAATTGTATCTGTCTGAGGAATACAAATTTGAGGATTGGATCATGTTATGATCTAAAGCTTAAGCAGTTAACTGTTCTGGTTTTCGCCAACTCTTTGCGAAATATTGTATTGTTCTTAGCTATTTGTATCAGTCAGAGTGAAATTAACTGAGCGTTGCTTGTATTACATTCACTCCAGAAAAATTATTCGATGTCGAAAAATCTTGACATAACACTGACCGAATAGCATGTCTTGGTTCAAATTCCTAGCTGTTCAGAGTTTGCTAGAAACAGCAAGGTACTTTGTATGACGGCCCTGAGCAACAATCTTCCCAGTCTTCTTCTTCCTGATCTCAACACTAGCAACACCAACAGTCTTCCCGACACGTAACGTCCTGGACTCGATCTCAACTTCCTCGCCAGGATAAGCCGAATCCAAGTACGACACATTGATCTCCACCAAAACTCCGGAACTGAGAGCTCCAGAGGAGAGGATTGCAGCTGATCCTATCAAATCCACAAGGGTTGCTGTGGCTCCACCGTGCAAGAAATTGCCCCGTTCACCAAACGCGGGGGAACTGTGAAGGAGCAAACAATGTGTCCGGGTTCAAGGAGATCGATATTAACGCCTTTCAGGATGAAGGGCTCAAAGAACTTGTCGGGCAGACCATCCATGGCGATTGCCATTTCACCTTCTTTCTCCAAAAACTTCTTCACTATCTCCATACTTGTTTCCTCGGCTCCTTCTTTCTTCATTTCAACTACTGCCTTCAATTCGAACTTCTGTTGCTGATTTGATGCCTACGAGCGTTTCTTCTTTCGGAATTTTAATCTGCAAAAGGATTTTTTTTCAGTCTCAATCCCAACAAAAATAATAGTTCTTGATCAAAATTATGCAACTCTGGGAAAAAAAAACAGAAAAAAGATCATAAGGGAACAAGTTATATATCCATATTCTACAATTTTACCAAAACGAGGGCAATCCTTAGCGCAACAGAAAGATCACTCCTTACAGCCTTGTTGGCTTGGAGTCACCCTTTATGATATTACTAGAGCATGAGAAGATCTCAATCATACCAAATTGAGAAATCAATTTAATCATATGAAAAATTATACGATTCATTTTCATTTCATCCATTCCAATCCGATCCTACAGACCAAACAAGGCCTTAGGTTCTAACCAAACACACAGAAATTCACAAATAGAAAGATTTGAATTATATTTTGCATTGCATTTTCTATCATTTTCCTTCCAAAGTTTCCTGGGAATCAAGCAGTACACCCTTAAATTACATCCATGGAGGGGAAAAAATGAGAACTTGCATACAAACAGATCAACCCAGAGACGGTAACACAAACCAAAATTTCATAAATATTTTCCGAGAATCAAAACAACCATATTCTTCACAATTCCAGGAGCAGTTTATACAAATTCCCATGTTATTCACAAAATTCAGAAACAGACGCATAAATCAAGGATAATCTGATAAAAAAATTAAAAAAAAAAAGACAGAGAAACAGAGCTCTTAATTGAATTAATTAATTAGAGAAAGCTATAACAGAGAGATCTGAACCTTGAGGGCTGTCAGCTGCGTCCTTTCTCTGAGTCAGTTCGTTTGTAGAAATGCGAGTGAGACAGAAGATAGACGTGAGATGTGCAAGAGGGGTGTTTTGACCAACAAATGAAAAAGCAAACAGAGGTCAAATTGGAAGTTTGGCATCCCAACTCATTCAATTGACAATAAATTTTTTTTTTTATCTTTTAATTAAACACAATTACCAATACCTTAGGGAATTTCAATAGCTAGCAACTCACTCTTTTCGCTATAGAGATTTCAATGTGCTCACAATACGAAGCGAAACATTATATATGTTATTTTATAATTTTAAATTTTTTTATGTGTCTAGTTGTAGTAATGATTTCTTAACTTTAATTCAATTCAAACAATAATCCATAAATTAAAAATTCATTATCATTAAGCCTCTAGCTCAGCAAAACGTGCAACTGTGTTCCCTCAACTAAAAATTTATTACCCTTTGTCCTCAACTTTAATCTAACTGGAAAAATGATCTCTCAACTTTAACCCAATTGAAGCAATGATCCCTCAACTTTAACTCAATTGTAGAAATAGTAATTCCAACATAACTCATTTTGACAAAATTCTGACGAAGTTGATGAAAAAGATCATAGCTAGAAGTTTTGATGAGTTGAGGGATCCCAATTGTAGCAATGGTCCTTTCAACATAACTCATTTTGACAAAATTCTGACAAAGTTAACGAAAATAATTATAGCTACACGTTTTAATGAGTTGCGGGACTAATGATAATAGATTTTTAGTTAATAGATCATTGCTCCAACTTGATTAAAGTTAAAGAATCATGTTTAGCTTTAATAGATGCATATAAACAAAATGTATAACATGTCACGTATTCCATTCATTTTTCACGAATTAGTAGAATCTCGACCAAATGAAGTCAAAATTGAGTTAAAGGGGCAAAGTTACGATTTTTTTTAAAGATAAACATGAAAGGCTAAATGAAATTAGCAGAATCTCAACAAAGTGAAGGGGAATTGGATTAAAGGGCAAGAACTTGTTTAGGTTCTAAGGTTTAACAGCTTTTACATCTAGTTAAAATATGAAGAAAAAAAAAATTAATTACTTCATTTTTTTTCTTTTTAATAAAAATAGCATTATTGAATTAAGTTTTAGAAAGAAAAAAAGAAAGCATGAGATCAAACCAATAATAAAATGCATAAATATCATATTACTTTTCGTGGTTCTACATTTTAATTATTCTATAGTTGTTGAATAAACAAATGCTGGTTTGAAGAATACAGAGACTGACATTGGCTGAGACTAATCATGCCACTGTATATACTTATATATACTGCTCCCATGAGGCCATATATATTTTGGTTTATGCAAGTGGGAATTGTCATTTTCATTCTCATACACTCATAGTAGGTTAAAGAGAGAGGAGAGAGAGGAGAGAGGGGAATTCCAGAGCTAGTGGGCGAAAGAAGCCGCCATCTCTGATATCTTCCTACCAGTTTGCTGCTTGCTTCTGCTTCAGCTCCTCCATCTTCTGCTTCAACAGCAGGTTCGGGTATCTCTCTCTCCTCTTTCTCTCTCTTCATATGCTACGCACATATAAAATACAGGAGATCAACCGCTAACCAGCTATCTTTCTCTTTCGAAATGTTAAAGTTCATCCTCAACTGTAACCAACAGATGCAATCAAAAGCAGTATATCTCCTATGGTCATTTTGGTTTTCATCCCAAATCCATCTAATTGATAGACTAAAATTTTATTAGTTTAAATAATTTGATCAAGATTTTTAGCATCATTTATGATATTTAACTCATGCATTTATACATTTAATGTTCCACAAATTATGAAATTTAAGCAAATTTAAATAATATTTTAAATATAATAAATACTTACAAAAATCAATTTTAGAGTAATATGTTTTTCACAAAAATTATAGCAAAAAATAATGTACCCACATAATTATTAACTTATTTTGAAAATAATTATTGATCTATTTTAAAACTAAAATAAATCATATAATTAGCATTGGTACATGTAGCAAAACAAAAAATTATGGATACAAATACAAATAAAAGTTTAAAAATTATGGTCACAAAAAAGAATTAATATATGGTTACAAATTAAATTAAAGCAAAATTTGTATAAATTAAAAGAAAGGTTGCAAATTAAAAATGGGTACAAACTAAAAATAAAAATGTATAATAAAAATTTAGCTATAATTAAATACCAAATGTAATGTTTTTAACACTCATTGATATATTTAGAAATAAAAAATATTTTATTATTAAAATAATTATAACTTAGATTTAATCAAAAATAAAAAAATTAATGAAGTAGAAAAAATAGAAATGGGAACTAATTTTTCCACTTCCCCGTCTGTTTGCTTAGTTTAAAAAATTTAAAACACTGCTGTGGTTTGGCAATATTTAATAATTATTTATGCATTTAATATATTATCCATGATCAAGCTTATTTAACTTTATGGAAAACTCATCAACTTGGGCCGCAACTTGATCGCACTGCATGCGGTGCAAGCTACGTGTCTTTACACCAATGTAACTTGGCAGAATATGTGTATTCCTTCCCTTTCCTACCCAATTTGTATAACTGGTTAATATAAATTATAAGTTTTATTTTATGTTAAAGAGAGATAAATTTATATTGATGCTATCTAATATTTATTTTATTTTATATATTTATATATATATATTTTTTTTAATTTCTGATCGTCAGATAGAATGAATAAAATAAAATAAATAGAAAATAGCATTACCTTTTACTTATTGATGCGATTGCGAGGATGAGTATGAGTCTTTGATATGAACAATATTTTTCCCCTAACATTGAAAAGGAGAAAATCATAGTACTGGTTTGTGAATTATTACTAAATTGTAGTTTTAGTCTACAAATGAAAGATCTATTAAAAGTACCGTATGAGTTCGACAAATGTGAAGCGTTAGTCCTTCACACTAACTCTGTAAGAATCTTTGGCCAAAATCCGAGGAGTACCTTCAAGAAGAGTAAATTAGAGAATTGCCCGTATGCTCCTTTTAATAAGAATCCTTAAAGAATTAGCCTCAATAACCAGTGTTCCATATTTTGTTTATAGATTAAAGATACAATTGAGGTCGAGTTTTGGCGTAGTGGAAATGTTGATAATTTGTGATCCAAAATGGTCACGAGTCTAAGTTGTGGAAACTTCTTTGTAAAATTAAGGTAATATTGCATACGTTAAACGTTCTTTGTCAGCTCTTATAATGCATAAGTCTTATTGGTTTGAGCTGCCCTTCTTATTGGTTTGAATTTACGCCACATTAGTTCTTTCGTTGCTATCGAGTAGCTTGGTGTTCTAGGAGGAACTGGCATTCACCTTCAGTGTACTATCTTTATACCACTTGAATATTAGGGATAGACTACACTTTTCAAACACTAGCGTATCACAAAAAAATTGTCAATATGGATTTTTCAGTAATTGGTTTCTGGTTGTTTATTCTAAGAACAGGGAATAATTTTGGGAGTTAATTTTTTGAGACATAGCTCTAAATTTGTTTTCTTTTTGCTGATTTTCGAAGTAGTTGCGAGAAGTGGTTCTTTTGAACCAGTTGAATTGATTTCTGTGATTGCATGTGGAGTGTGTTTTTAAATTTTGGTAGTCGATCTCAGAATGTGGTGGCCTTTTGGGGAATTCAGGTTTCTCCCAATCTAAATTTGGTGTGTGTGTGTGTGTGTGTGTGTGTGTGTGTGGTGTGTGTTTAGCTGAGGTGAATTTGAATTTTGCGGACAGTTTGGTTTTTTTTGAAAAATTTAGGTTTGGATAAGAAAATGACGATGAGCAAAGGAGAAGTGCCAGACTTGGCAATAGGCCTTAAAAGTTGTAGTCATCTGTTCAACTCTATTTTTTTTAATTTGTCATCTGAGTTCATAGAAAGCTCGCATCTCGGTTAATTTTTTTATTAGGGGTTTTGACATTTTATTTTGTATGGCTCGTTGAGGTGGTTTTTGCAACCAGGCTTGCATTATTGTTCAAGACTAACTACTGTGATAGTAGAGTGTGGCGAATTCTCTTATTTACATCTAAATTTGAACAATTTATTGTATCATAAAGGAAAAATGAATATGAGATGATATTGAAGAAGGCCTAGCAAAGCATCTGCCTGCTAGCTTGATTCAAATACCGCAACCTCAGTTATTGTTTAGGTGAGGTGTTCTATATATATGAAAATCTTTGAGTCTTGAATATTTTAGGCATTACGTCAGCAACTTGAGATAATTGTAAAGCAGTACATATAGCGTTGATGCCTTTTACTTCACATTCACACGCGTATTTGTTTCGTTGGAATTAAACTTGCAATGTACAGATTTATGCCAAGGAAAAGTCAAGGCCTTTGGAGCTTGATATTCTTTGTTAGAGTTTCTATTACAAAATTAGGGAGCTATCCTGTCCATTTATGCTTCCGTTTAGTAAGATTGGGGTAATAAAGATTTCTAAGGTGTTTTCAAAGTTGTTTTGGAGTTGCATTCAGTTCTCGGAAAACCACATAAGAAGCATTTGTCAATTGATGCCTTATGGAAAATTTTCGGTTTTTAATCCTCCTTTTGTTTTAGTTTCGTGTTAGCACATGGCATATTTTGTTTTGGTTGCTGGTTATTCGATGTGCCGTTCAATTTGGGTATCATTATGTGAAAATGATTCCTAGCTGTTGCGGATTATAGCAGCACTTCGTTTTGATTGTAAACAAACTGTATACTTAATCTTTGTCTTGGGTGTAGTATGACGTTTAACGATTGAATTTGTAAGATGGTGTAGCAATTTTTTAAGAAACTTATTATTTCTGCCAAGTGCTCAAGTATTATGTCTCTACTTTTTTACTTTTCCTTTTTTGTGTTTTTCTTTCCATGTAGTAGGCTGATACTTGGAATTATGATATTGATGACACAATACGATCTACAAATGAATGTTTCTTATAGAATGCATATCCATATATAGCAAGCAAAGTTTGACTTCATTGGTTCTCAGGTACCACATCTTTTTAGTTCCTTTGTGTGGAAACTATTCATGCCTGTTACGACTAATACATTAAATGCCTGCAGCAAAGCGCATACATTTTCTAGTTAAAAACTATAAAATTGCATTGTTTGTGGACTTCAAGAGAAGAAGAAAAAACTTGGATTTGGTAAGTATAAGAACGGATAATGCTTGGGAGACCCCTCTCAAATAGGTTTTATGGACCTCTCTACCACTTCATACCTTATGGTTTAACGTCAATTCTTGTGTCAGTATTATAACTATTGCACCTTAAGGCAGCAAAGAGTCCATAAGGCTGCAAAAGAAGAAAAAAAATATTGCATCTTAAGACGGCAAAGAGTATAAAAGTCTCACCTTTGAAATCTCCTTAGCATTTCTTCTTTTAACTTTCTCGTACATCATTGAACTCAGACAAATTTTTCATCCCGATCGAATTTTCAGTGCAGCCACAAATATTGAAAAAGTCCTCACCTTATTTGTCCTTTGAAAATGTCCTCGTCTACTTTCTAAACTTATTGTATTGCCACGATATATTTTATACACAAAATTATCAATGATATGGTATTCTTTGACCGGACAAACTTACGACATAGATGCAAATGTTCCAATGTTTTAAGTTAATCGCATAGTATGTCATGTATTTTGCCACACATAATAATGTAATTTGTTTAAATATTCTCACAATGATATTCTCGTTATATGCCGTATCAAAATCACTAACTAACAAAAAAAAAAAACGTTAATCCATCTCCATAATTACAAGATTTGACCATCTGCTGAGCAAAAATGTTAATCCACTAGTCAATCCGTTGATATTTTCAACAAGAACCGTAGGTAAACATTTCAAGACTAAGTCATTAAAGCAGGTCAATCTGTAATATTATAATATACAATTCAAGTAATATGATCAAAGCCTTAGAACCTTGGACAGCAATATGTGCACATATAAATTGTCGATATATGACTAACATCTAGTGGTCTTGTTTTTACATGCATGATTCAAGTCAGTGGGAGAGAAACGGGTCGCCCGTAATAAGAAGAAAAAGAAGAGAGACTTGTTCTGCTCTCCCAATTCACGAAGACGGAAGTCACTGGTTGGGCTGGTCCAACCAAGAAAGGCAATGGGGCATTGCTTGTTCTGTTAGGTTCTAGTAGGAGTCGTCTACCTTTCTTCTTTTACTTCACGGTTTCCTTGATAGCTGGAAGTTCTCCAAAAGTACAAAGGCTGGAGGACTTGTACCATCCATTCCAGTGTCGTTGAATTCTGTTCAACAGCCCAAGGATTTGGAGCGCATCTTGTATAAGAAGTGTCGGCCGTTTAATTAACTCCGTCGAGGAGAGCAAGTTCTGCACATGTACAATATGAGATGAAATTGATGATGAGGATACTATTACTCTGCTTCCTCAACTGTTTCTGGTTTCAGCTGTCCTTTGCTCAAAATGCTACCACTGATCATCTGAAGGTTCTCTCTCTCTCTCTCTCTCTCTCTCTCTCTCTCTCTCTATCTCTCCCCCCCCCATACTCATACACACTTTGCCCCATATAAGTGTTTTTGACCAGGAATGGGCTTCTTTCCCTCAACAAAATGACATTTAAGTGTTCTTCGACAATATGAAATGAAGTTTCGAAGAAATTATTGTAAAGCCCTTTTTCTTCCCATATACAAAACATCCAAAAATAAGGGTAACTTTCCTTTGTAATAATCAATTTGATCTCTCATTTGATTATTCAAGATGGTCTGGTAAGTGGTAACACAAGTCAAATTATGGTGTGATATAATCTAATACACACAAGGACTGAATTAACTGAGAATGCAGTGAGGGCGTTGAACTCAATATTTGAACAATGGGGACACACAAGCAGTGCCGGGGCTGTGGAATATCAGTGAGAACCCTGCAGTGGATCCGCCATCAACGGCACCGAATTGAGATCCCCGATAACAACCCAGCCATCGCTTGCGACTGTACTTACGACAACGGTACTACATGCCACATCACCAAACTGTATGTTAAACTACTCTCTCTTTATGAACAAGATTCTATGCCAATGCTGATTTTTCGCTAGCTATACCTATATATATTAGTCAATAATTTGACTGTGCCACTCCATTTTATAAAGTTCTAAATGTTCAATCTTTTTGCTTTCCAGGAGAGTGCATGCTCTGTACAACGAGGGGTGTTTCCAGAAGATTCTTGGATCTAAGATATCTCGCAGTTTTGTATGAATTTTTTCCAACTCCCTTCTCTGTTTTGGTTCATCAAAATTATCAATTGAAATCAAAATATAGTGATGTCGTAAGGATTAAGGATTACATTTTGTTTCAATTTCTGTAGGAAAATTGATATGAATATTTCAAGGTCCCCTACCGGCATTCATTGGCAATATGTCTGCATTGATTATATTGTAAGTAGTGACAGAAAATTTGTTTAAGTACTCATACTTCTGATGAGACTCGTCGCAATTTGTATACTTCATTTTGAATATCATAATCTACAGTTATGTTCTTTTATACCTTTTCTCTATTATTTACACCGTAATCTACACAAAACCATTATGATTTTATTGAATAATGCAGTACTAGTTTCTTGTAATGTAATGGTGCTTATCTTTAGTGAACTGATATCTCCATTCAGGTCAATTGGCCACAATTCATTCTCTGGGCCCATCCCCAAGGAGCTTGGAAATCTTACGGAACTAAATATGCTGTAAGCCATGAAAAATGAGAAAGCGTTCAGTAAAATTTTGTGTCATAAACATTAGATGCAGAACCTTCTATCACTCTTCAATAATTGCTTTCAAGTAATTGTTGCCTGTTCAACATGACTTGTAGGGCCATCGGATCAAATAATTTCTCCGGAACACTCCCTCCAGAACTTGGTAATTTAGTCAAGCTCCAGCAAATGTAAGTGGTTCGTTAAATCATCAAATTTGAATTACATGTTAGTTCCTTGTGCATAAGCAAAATTGCACCTTATCGTATAAATGGGTATTAATCAGTTGCCTTAGATTTTCACAGTTACATGGACAGCTGTGACTCAGTGGTGAAATTCCTTCAACATTTGCCAAGCTCACCAGCACGCAAATCTTGTAAGAACGGCTCTTAAATTGTATTTTAGATTTGTTTGTTTATCTAGTACTTTGAGATTGCTTTTCTTGGATGAGCTTATTATAAGTCAACTTTTTGAATTTTAGTTGGGCATCGGACAGTCTTTTCTCAGGAAAGATACCTGATTTCATAGGAGAATTGGACCACAACTCACTTCTTTGTAAGCACAGAAAATTTTGATCTTATGCAGTTTATGAAAGCAGACCTGAGATGGATAATTTGTCACAAGCTTCTTATATGTTTCTGTAGGCGATTTCAAGGGAACTCTTTCGAAGGCCCAATACCAACCGGCTTTTCTCAATTGACCCTCATTAAAGTCTCTGTAAGTATAAATGTTTCATAAATTGTAATTCTTTCTCTTTCTCTGAAGACGGGATTTCAGTTATTTTGCATATAATTATGTAGGCAAATCAGTGATATATACGATGGGAGCTCCTCTCTTGATTTCATAAAAAATATGAAGAAACTTGACTGAGTTGTAAGTGAAGATTCTTGTCGATCCATATACTTTCATCCAACTTTTTCCTTTTGAATTTTGATATCTTACTCCATCTACTTTTTATCAAATTTGATGTGAATAACAGAAAAACTACGAAACGCATTAATCACTGGTATCATCCCATCTGATATTGGAGAATATCAAAGTCTACAGATACTGTACGTACCAGCGCATATAAGCGTGAGTCCCAACGAGGCCAATTAGTTTTCTTTCATTCTGATTGCTCCTCTCAACTTATCGTTGGTGTTGCAGGGATCTGAGTTTCAACAATTTGACAGGCCAACTCCCAAGTTCTTTGTTCACCATGAGTTCTCTTACATCCTTGTAATCCCCGTCATTATTATATTTTGCTTGCCTCATCATACATAAGTTATCAAATCTTTAACATTCCCTACTTTGATTGAAGATCTGGACTAATCCTTATAGATTTTGTGCACATCTGACCTTTTTCTTGCTCATCTCTTTTTCTTTCTGGGTGCCTTCTACCATAATCGAAATGGCCAGGGTTTCTTGGAAACAATAGTCTATCTGGACCTCTTCCGAGCCAAAAGAGCAATCGACTTCAGACTATGTAAGTCCTCGTTTCTTAAAAGTAGTCCTATAGAATGTACTGAGTCTACTGACATTGAAACTAGTACTTTGTACGTGCGTGTGCACGTGCATGTATGTGTTTGTGCGTTTTGTAAGCATTCTAATCCTTTATCTTACACAAGTTCTTATAACTTTCATGCATTTTGTGTCTTCTGATTCTATTTTGTTATTTGCAGAGATTTGTCTTACAATTATTTATCAGGAAGCTTTCCCCAGTGGGTGATCACACCATCGCAACTGTACGTCTCCTTTTATCTTTCATCTTCATTTTACAGTTTAAATACCCAGAATATGTTCGGACAAAAAATATCACTACGATTCGTTCTCACACTACTTGCCTATTAAGTTTTGATCCTGTACGTGGAATTTTCATTTGACAGAGATATATTTCTTCACATGTTAATTGATTAATGATTTTATGCAGGAACTTAGTGGTCAACAACTTCACATTTGACAAAAAAGACATAACGTGAGTTGAAGTTTCTGTTGCCGGTTTTTAGACAAGCAATACTATCACTACTCTTCCACTATATGTTTCTATCTAGATAACTAATAATTGTTCTTTGTGTTCGCAGTACTCTTCCTGGATTGAATTGCCTCCAGAGAAACTTTCCATGCAATCGAAATACCCCACGATGTAATTTGCTTTTATGTCACCCAACATTTATTGTTTTAACGCAATGTCATGTTAGAGGAAAAGGCATTGCTTCTCTAGTTATGTATACACATGGATATAGATAGCAAGCATGTTTTCATAAGTTCAGTAATAAGCATAACTGGTCAGAAATATGTGACTCAAAAACATTAGTATGAGTCTTCAATTTGAAGTTTCATCGCTAATCATGGTAGATTATGGTATTACATGAAACTTACAGATGCAAACTTCTCAATCAACTGTGGTGGACCGCAAATGATGGGACGTGATGGCATATTGTATGAGGCTGAAGACTCAGATCTTGGTCCAGCAACATTCAATGTAACCAGTATAAAGCAATGGGCCGTCAGCAATGTTGGTATGTTTTCTGACGGAGTGAACCGACCGTTTCTGGTAAATACCCTTGCACAAGTCGCCGGAACAGATGTGACCCCGGAGCTTTTCCAGACTTCAAGATTGTCCCCAGGATCATTGAGATACTATGGCCTGGGTCTTGAGAATGGACCTTACACTGTAACATTGCACTTTGCAGAGACGGTTTTTGATAGGCGCATTCAGCAAACTTGGGAAAGTCTAGGACGACGTGTATTTGATATCTATATTCAGGTATGGCTGCTTATGGAAAATAAAAAATAAAAATTCTAACTTATTTGAAGTAAAGACTCATTAGGTAGGTTTTCGATAGTTTAAGCTACTTTAATCAAAAACAAAAAATCATCAAGGTTTCAGTAAAAAAACATTGGTAGTTAGAGACCGCATCCAAAGTCTTCCATGATTTAAAGGAGACTAGACTTATTACCTAGCTCTTCATTTGGTTGCTAGGGTACCCGCAGGATAAAGGACTTTGACATATCCAAGGAGGCAGGTGGGGTTAACGTAGGAATTATGAAAAGATTCAATGTTAACGTGTCAGAGAATTATCTTGAAATTCATCTGTTCTGGGCTGGTAAAGGGACTTGTTGCATACCCAATCAAGGTGATTACGGCTCACTAATAGCAGCCATCCATGCTGCTTCAGGTATAATTTGTGTTAACTAGTAGAGATTTCCTATGAATGGTATAAATGTATTTTTCTACTGCTAATTGACACTGAAGAATTCGTCTGTTTTATTGCTTAGATTTTACACCAACAGTTTCAGGGCTTCCACCAACTACTTCAGGAAAGAAGAGCAAAACTGGGTTCATAGTTGGTATTGCAGTTCCTGTTGGAGTTGTGAGCTTGCTATTAATATTTGCGATTCTATATACGAGAAGGAAAAAATCAGAAAAAGAGGACGACGAAGGTAAATGACCATATTATTAGTGGTATCCAATTCAGGTTTCTCTGCTTTGACATTAACACACAGAAGTATGCTTTCACGAAAGTAAAACTTATGTCACACTGTTTCGTGAATGTGCAGATATTCTAGGATTAGGCCCTCGACCAAATACTTTCAGTTATTCTGAGTTGAGAGCTGCAACTGAAGATTTTCATCCTTCAAATAAGTTAGGAGAGGGAGGATATGGCCCTGTTTACAAGGTGAAATCCGTATTACATCAGTATCATGTCCTTGAAGTAATGACAAGAGAAAGGGAGAGAGAGCAAACGAACGAGCAAGAGAAGAAAATAAAAGCTTCTTTTTTCTTTCCCTTCATGTCAATAAATTGTGTTTCTGTGTACATTGTAGGGTACACTTTCTGATGGGAGAGTAGTGGCTGTGAAGCAACTTTCAGTAGCATCTCACCAAGGGAAGAGTCAATTTGTATCTGAAATTGCTACCATATCTGCTGTGCAACATCGGAATCTAGTGAAATTGTATGGATGCTGCATTGAAGGCAGCCAGCGCATTTTGGTTTATGAGTATCTTGAAAACAAGAGCCTTGATCAGGCACTTTTTGGTACAAACCTATCTACTTTTAGGTTGCATAGAAACGGCATTGTCTGCAGTTTCAAGCACTCTAAAATTGTTAAGAAATGTTTTTGATTGGATGTGTTCACTCATATTTCAGGAACAAGTAACTTGCACCTTGACTGGCCTACTCGATTCAATATATTGTTGGGAACAGCAAGAGGACTTGCTTACCTTCATGAGGAGTCAAGGCCAAGGATTGTACATCGAGATGTCAAAGCGAGTAATATTTTGCTCAGTGCAGAACTCTCCCCAAAAATATCAGATTTTGGATTGGCAAAGCTTTATGATGACGAGAAAACCCACATCAGCACCCGGGTTGCAGGGACAATGTTAGCCATCCTTTATTGTTTTTCCAGAGGATATATACATTACGGCCACACATTTATACTTGCATGAAATTTTAACACATCATGTTAATAATGCCTTTAATGATCTCAAGCAACATTGTGCAACCATTTGATTATCTTGCATTGCAGAGGCTATTTGGCACCGGAGTATGCATTGTTTGGACATTTGACAGAGAAGGCCGATGTGTTTGGTTTTGGAGTCGTTGTTTTGGAGATCCTCAGCGGGAGACCAAACTCTTACAATAACTTGGATTCAGAAAAGATTTATCTTCTTGAATGGGTAGGAATTGCATTCGCCTAGCTTCATTTTGGCATTGTTGTGAAAAACTTATTTATACTTTCCTATGACCGTGGCATAATGTTTTTCAGGTATGGACTCTACATGAAAATGACCAAACTTTGGGGCTGGTGGATCCGAGATTGATAGAGTTTGATGAAACTGAAGCAACTAGATTGATAAGAGCAGCTCTCATGTGCACGCAGGGATCACCGATGGCGAGGCCATCTATGTCACGCGTGGTTGCAATGCTCTCTGGAGACATTGACATAGGCACTGTCATCTCGAAGCCAAGCTATTTGACAGACTATGATTTTAAAGATGTAACAACATTGTCAACAGGTAGATTTTTAGTGGGGGATGATACCCCATCAACTGCATCCAAGGATAGTAATGTTCACCTCAACTATCAGCCGGGAGGCAGCAATGCAAGTGGCGCTAACACTCCCTGGATTGACCCTGCGCCTTCTCCTGTAAACGTCACTCAATCACTGCTAGCTGGCATTAGAGGAGAAGGAAGGTGATAAATATGGAGAAATGAATTCCGCATACTCCCTTTATCTCTTTGCGCACCATTGTACTTGTTTTGGACCCTTTCCTTCTATATAATACACATTTAAATAATTAATTGTAATTGTACATTAGCTTTGGCTTTTGGCAGTGGGCAGAGGACTGGCATGCCAGATTTGAATATATCTTTGGCAAATGGAGATATGTTCACGAAATGTTTATAGATATGTTCACGAAATGCCAGATTTGAATATATCTACTTATTCTTACAAAATGTTTATAGATATGTTCACGAACCACCACCACTGGATGGAGATCCCACCACTAAAATTTGAGAAAAACTAATGAAAATAGCTTAAAAACTTTGAGTTTTAACAATAAGGACAAAATAAAGGGTTAAGTGAATAGTACCAGGATTAATTTTTTAGTGTAAAAATATGATTTTTCGTTAAAGTGAACAGTACCACGAGTTTTTCGTTAAAGTTCCCTAAAATTTAAGAATGTGTTCAGGGTATTCAGATAAGTTAATAAGGCCTTTCTGGGTCTATAAATGTAGCCTAGATGTTGATGGTCCAGTTGCAGAATAGAGGAGAAGGCAAATTTTTTATTTGTCACCTTAACTTGTATTCAAATTTCAATTTGTTACCTTTTTTGAAATAATTTATGATGAGAGAATTTTGAACGTGGGACACTTGGGTGGAAACGCAATAGCATATTCATTACAATATTGACTGCAATACAAAAACAAACTCAAAATTATGAGTATATTTGTTATAGAGTGTTACAATCTTTTCACGATTCAGGTCTAACATCAACAACATTTTCTACTTTTGGATTCAAATATGAGCTTTCCTCCCTAAAAAATTAGGCAACAATTGAAATGATTTGGAGCCTAAGTTTTTAGGAGCGGAAAGTTCATGTTTGGAGTTAAAAGGAGAACAATGTCGTGTATGTTAAGCTTGATCGTGAACTAAAACAACTTTATATAAGAGGCATGTGCAAGTGTAATACTCCGTATTTTAAAAAGTGGACATATATATATATATATATATATATATATATATAAGTGTCAAAGTGTCAAAGTACTTTTAATTTGTGTTTTACGCTAAAGTTTGATAAACCAAGTTTTTTTTTTTTTTTTTATTTAACAAATACATATATGTTTCACCGATACTTTGCTACTCTTTTGGTTTTAGTTTGAGGTGTGATTATAACCATGGGTTTTGGAGCTTTTAATTCACCATCATCTGGATATCCCACCAATTTGTAGAGTTACCATATGTTTTGTTCCAACAAGCTTACCATAAGATAAACCTTAACGTGGCCTTAGACATGCATCCACCTTACATGATATTTTTTTGTTCATGATTAACTTAACACATGTTGCTTTGCTATTGGAACATATTTCATTATTAATGATTAGTTTAACGAATTGTCTTGCTCTTCGAACACATATTATGGCTAATAATTTGCCCACTACTTGGTGTCTTTCTATTGGAACACTGGGAAGCTTTTATCCTCAAGTTAGATTGTACATGTTGTGAGAAGGAAGATCTCATACGATCCCTATAAAGGAAGGAGCAAGAACTAGAAGAAGGACACGAGGAAAAAAAAGGAGAACACCACACCAGCAAGAACACACTACCAAAAAGAATGTAAACGCTTTAAGTCATCTTTCATACTGTGTATTTGTAAGTCTCTCATATATAGTGAAATACAAATGAAAGCAAACCCCAGTGGATATAATCAATTTGGTGAACCACTCCAATACTGTGTGTTTATGTGAATGTTTGTGTTATCAAGTTCTAGTGAAGCACCATTATCCAACTCCGTGAAGCACCACCAAATCTCCCTCTATTTTTCAACGAGAATCCTGAGAAAGAAATCACATACAAATCCCAGAAAATGCATAAGAGCTTACCCAACAAATCTCTCCACCAAACTCATCATCATTTTCTCCTAGTTATCAAAAGAAAGAATTTCGAGAACCAGAAATTCGTCATATCTGTTTTGCAGATCAAATTACCATTTTCTTTAGTTCAAATCAAAAAGCCGTCTTCAAGAAAGTTGTTCGTTAACTCGTTAAATACAATACATCCAAATATGAGATCCATAGGAGCTGTATAACTTCAGAAACTCAGGTATAATCAGTGACTGCTCAGCACTCGTCTGTCAACCAGTCAGGTCTGTTGTGAGCTTCGAAACTACGTTTTCTCTTACTCATATCAAAATACTTTCTTCATAAAAATTGTTCCTTATTCTCTCTACCTTAACATATCAAAGTCTCAGAAAGATCTAACTGTCCATTCATTACAGAAAGTCTCAGAAAATCCTCATAAAACCTTACAGTCATGTTTGGAGCTTAAAAATCCAACTTACTGTGATCAAACAAAAACACTTCCTTCACAAAATTATTCCTTATCATCTCTTCTATAAATTATCCAAAAAGCTCGACAACCTAATCTGTATGTTGGCCTATACATCAGTTTGAGCAGCTTATGTAAGGTTGAGCTGGCCTTCTCAGCCAGCCTCTTTGGCCTACATCTCCATTTTATCTTGCTCACCAATTCTACTCCTGTTACATATGCAAATTTTCAGCTATATTAAAGAAGATAAGGGTTTGAAGAAAAGCATAAAAGGAGGAAAGAGAAAGAGAGGTGTCGAGGGAGTTGTGAAAGGCAAGGAAAAGAAAAGAAAAGAAAAGAGTATGAGCAACAAGTTAATAAAAATGAAAACAACAGAGAGAGAGAGAGAGAGAGAGAGAGAGAGAGAGAGAGAGAGAGAGAGAAGAGTGTTGTTTTGTAGTTTGTCATCTGTGATAAGAGAAAGAAGGGGGTGTTTGTGGGAAGTGAAGGTGTGAGAATAGCCTACCGGAAGGGAAAGAACTGGAAGAAAAGAAAGAAAATAATGAGGTTTTGGAAGGTTGGGAGAGAGTTGAAAAGAAAGAAAGTGGTAAGAAGGAGTCGGTTAATGAGAAAAAAAAATGTGAGTTGGAGTGGGTAAAAGGGTTTTGAATCTGATCCACACTAAAAATAAAGAACAAGAATTAATGAAAGGAGAAATATACGAAAGTGTTAAAATTGAAATAATGAAATTTTAAGGAGAACAACAACATGATGGTAATATAATCTTTTACCTATTTAACTTTAATTCTTGCTGATATCATTTTATTCGACGTTAATGATGCTTTATGTGTTTGGATTGATAAATGAATTATTGTTTTACACTTTACATTTGGATAATCATGAGAATATTGGCTTTCATATGTTGCTTTAAATATGCATAAGCATTCATGAAAAGCAAGACAAAGAGTTGAAAGATCTCATCTATAAATATCCAAGCTAGGGTTCCCTCTAAGGAGATATAACGCATATCTGATATCTCATCTAACATGTACATGCTCAAACACATCTCTACATGCTCATCCAACTCATGCATGGAACTATTTGATTCTCCCTTTTTGACGAGGAGATATGTAGGCAATCATTTTCGAATTTAGTTACATCCCCCCAAACAATTCTCCTATTTATCGATATTCAAGAGATTCCAACGATTATTCGTATATCAACGATTATGCGCGAATTTGATTCCAACAGTAGGAATAGTAATGTATTTCTACAATGTAAGATGTAATTCATGCCGTTTGTGTTTACCACATGGTTTGTTTACCAAAAACAAAACAAAGCAAAACACAAAAAAAAAAAAAAAAAACCCACATGATTTTCAGATTGGGCTGAGTTTTCCTGGTTTCTTGATTAATTTTTCCTACTATTTTGGGCCTGGCCCAGTAGATTTTGAGCTTTTAGTCAGTAATTACCTTTTTTTCATTAAAATAAAAAGAAAATGAAACTAGAACCAGATCTAACCTCTAACATCTAACTTACTTACTTTATTGTTTGATTCACAGAACCAAAACTGGACTGATTTGATTTGATTTGAACAAGAGAAGAGCATGGTTGGGTTCCACCATTCCAGTTCTAAAAGGGAAACTGAACTAGGTCGGTTCGTTTTGTCGCCGACATTACTGTCGATATAAACTCTAGTTCCACGAAAACTGGAAAACCCAAGACCTGAAATTACATAAAATTCAAAAGAACCGAGAGTTTACAAAAGAAGGCGGCAAGCTGCAATGTCAACTGCGGATGGCGATGTCTCAGAAAGCCTCTCAGATATCGACGACTCCGAGGTATGCAGATAAAGCAGGCATTGCTTTCTTATTATTTTCGTTCAATTTTCTGAAATGTTTTCGTCGAATGGTGTCTGCCCATTCTCCATAAGTTGATGAATTTTAGGTAGGTGCTCAAATATTTCGATGATAATAAGAATTTTTAGTTTGCATGCGACGTTGTTGGAATTTTATTTCGTAGTTATTGTGAAAAGTTCAGTTCTTGGTTCATGACAATCGACCACATTTTCCATGTCTGATAATTAAGGGGATAAATTTAATCAAACGCAAAAGCAGAGATCCTGAAAGTTACACCCACCTGCCCATCAGAGAACACTTCCATCATAGCCCACTCGGTAGTCCGTATGGCGATTTGGATTCCTATGCGATTGTTGCTTCTATTTTTCGTTTGTGAATTTCGATATGGAAGAACTCATGCTTCTGTTTTTTAGGTTGCTGGGTACCTTAACAGCAAGGAGGCGGCGCGGTTTAAAAGATTCATTTGGGAAGTACTTAACAAGGACTACGATCAGGTAATGCCTTTGCAAGTTTATAAGTTTTGGCACATTTGTTTTCACAAGGATTTGGTGCAATGTTAGGCAATTTCGTAGTTTCTGTTTGTTCGATGGTTTTGTTCTTATTTTTCGTCTATGTTTTTTATGGCCACGACTGTTCAGAGTGAACGATTGAGGGGATTTTGCATTTGATCATGACCGTACTAGTATACATTTTCCTTGTATGGGTTTCTGGTTTTCTTCCTTCCACTCTTTGCCTCTGCATTCTTCCTTTACTCTTTAGCTCTGTGATTTTTTGGAAGTTCTTAACTCAATTCTTTCTTTGTAGTACTTCTGTACTCTCTCTTTTCGTACTTGATTCAAAAACCCTAATCTTTGACCTCTCTTTGCTTTCTGGTTTCTCTAACTTTTAACCCCCAAATTCAAAAAGCATGCTCCTAACTAAAATTTGCAACAAACAGTTTGTCTTCCAGACAATTAACTTGTTTTTAGTCCTAATCTTTGAAACTATGGCTAATCTACGAACAATACTTCTTTTAAGATCCTAAGCACATAAAACAACAAATTCTGAATCCTTAAGCCCCACTAAATAGGCAATTTCAGTTATGATAGAGCACATGTCTTGGAACTGGTGTCTTGCTTGCACTTTTTATGCATTTCGTTGCAGTAAAATCATTCCTTTCAAAGAAGGACCTTCTAACCAAAATCTTGAATTTATTCATTATATCACTGGATATGGCTAGCTTAGCTATGTGGTTTATCCCAATATTGACTTCATTTGAGTTTATCTTTGCATTTTTCTAGACTGTCATGTGTGCATTGTTCTCTAAAATGTATGCTTGGAAGATTCATTCAGCTTATTCACCATTCTTCGTCGTTTGTGCCTAAATTCTCAACTGTTATTGGAGTCACACCTGCTTACAAATTAGTATTTTTTTAATCTTATCTGCATTTGATTTATTTTTTAGTTTTTCCCTTTTGTTTATCTGTCTTTGTGTTACTGCCAGCATTGAGCCTTACTTATTGATTTCTAATTTTCTACATACAATGGATAAATTTGGCAGGGAAAGAGTAGAAAACGAGCCAGAAAAGCCAAGAAAGCTGCACCTGCAGAAAAAACCGCCAAAGTTTCTACTGTGATAAATAACAAGGAGGTAAGGGAATTAGCTGATGGATATGCTTCGTTTAAGTATTATTCCTCCAGCATGATGCAACTTATATCTTACCCAACAATTATTTACATGGCATTCTTTTTTCGCAGAGGCTGAGTTCGAAAATCGACTTTGATGCTTTGAAGAAATTAAATGAAAAGCTTCTAAGTATCTTTTTACTGGCTTATTTTAGAATCATTCTTGCTTTACTCATAGCTCTGCAATTCGTATATTATGTTGTCAAACATTATATGTCTCGTTGCCTGTGAACCTAATGCAGATTGCAAAAGACTAAAAAAGCCAAACAAACCTGGTAGACTAATAGTATGTCAAACTTTGATAGTCGTCACATGTTACTTGTTTATGTCTGGTCAGTCGGCAGACACCAATTTTTGTATAGTGGAATAAAGGTCTATCGAAGTTGTACAAGCTATGGCAGGATAAAACCTAAATATGTGAAACCATGATCTTTATACAGGTTGTTTGCTAATCGAGCAGCTAATGGAAGACTTGAGGAAATAGGAAATGTTATATCTCGTTATATGGTTGATAGTTTTTTGGCCATATATAATAATTTTGCAATTGTAATTCCTTGTTAGGAATCCTAAGAGGTTTTAGAATGTCTGTTTTTACGAGCAACGGCAAGAACTTGTCAATGTATCCTGAATTTGCTTAATCTGACCTTTTTCTCCGTCTGTTTTTCAGGGACCTGGATTTGAAGAACGCAAGGAGTCTAATTGCGGCAGTGGTAAGCAGCTGTCAAATCAGAAAAAGATTCATTTTGAAGTTAGTCATGATGAGGAGCTCGAACATGAAAATATGTACAGTGAAGAGGCTGAAGCCGGAGAAGGCTACGACGATGATACACATGTTGCAAATGACGAATATAATGGATACAATTATGATGAAGAATACAATTACGATGAGGGATATAATAACGACGATGGATATGATTTTGACGAATTGTGACTCAAATGGTCAATGTTGTTTTCTTGATTTTGGTTAACTTTTCGTGATTCAGTGAATTCATGTTGTGATCGAAGGGTTAACTGATTATCTGTCCTGTTTTTTGAGAATTTTTTGAGAAGCATTTACTGGTTCTTAACAATTGTATCTGTCTGAGGAATACAAATTTGAGGATTGGATCATGTTATGATCTAAAAGCTTAAGCAGTTAACTGTTCTGGTTTTCGCCAACTCTTTGCGAAATATTGTATTGTTCTTAGCTATTTGTATCAGTCAGAGTGAAATTAACTGAGCGTTGCTTGTATTACATTCACTCCAGAAAAAATTATTCGATGTCGAAAAATCTTGACATAACACTGACCGAATAGCATGTCTTGGTTCAAATTCCTAGCTGTTCAGAGTTTGCTAGAAACAGCAAGGTACTTTGTATGACGGCCCTGAGCAACAATCTTCCCAGTCTTCTTCTTCCTGATCTCAACACTAGCAACACCAACAGTCTTCCCGACACGTAACGTCCTGGACTCGATCTCAACTTCCTCGCCAGGATAAGCCGAATCCAAGTACGACACATTGATCTCCACCAAAACTCCGGAACTGAGAGCTCCAGAGGAGAGGATTGCAGCTGATCCTATCAAATCCACAAGGGTTGCTGTGGCTCCACCGTGCAAGAAATTGCCCCCGTTCACCAAACGCGGGGGAACTGTGAAGGAGCAAACAATGTGTCCGGGTTCAAGGAGATCGATATTAACGCCTTTCAGGATGAAGGGCTCAAAGAACTTGTCGGGCAGACCATCCATGGCGATTGCCATTTCACCTTCTTTCTCCAAAAACTTCTTCACTATCTCCATACTTGTTTCCTCGGCTCCTTCTTTCTTCATTTCAACTACTGCCTTCAATTCGAACTTCTGTTGCTGATTTGATGCCTACGAGCGTTTCTTCTTTCGGAATTTTAATCTGCAAAAGGATTTTTTTTCAGTCTCAATCCCAACAAAAATAATAGTTCTTGATCAAAATTATGCAACTCTGGGAAAAAAAAACAGAAAAAGATCATAAGGGAACAAGTTATATATCCATATTCTACAATTTTACCAAAACGAGGGCAATCCTTAGCGCAACAGAAAGATCACTCCTTACAGCCTTGTTGGCTTGGAGTCACCCTTTATGATATTACTAGAGCATGAGAAGATCTCAATCATACCAAATTGAGAAATCAATTTAATCATATGAAAAATTATACGATTCATTTTCATTTCATCCATTCCAATCCGATCCTACAGACCAAACAAGGCCTTAGGTTCTAACCAAACACACAGAAATTCACAAATAGAAAGATTTGAATTATATTTTGCATTGCATTTTCTATCATTTTCCTTCCAAAGTTTCCTGGGAATCAAGCAGTACACCCTTAAATTACATCCATGGAGGGGAAAAAATGAGAACTTGCATACAAACAGATCAACCCAGAGACGGTAACACAAACCAAAATTTCATAAATATTTTCCGAGAATCAAAACAACCATATTCTTCACAAATTCAGGAGCAGTTTATACAAATTCCCATGTTATTCACAAATTCAGAAACAGACGCATAAATCAAGGATAATCTGATAAAAAAATTAAAAAAAAAAAAGACAGAGAAACAGAGCTCTTAATTGAATTAATTAATTAGAGAAAGCTATAACAGAGAGATCTGAACCTTGAGGGCTGTCAGCTGCGTCCTTTCTCTGAGTCAGTTCGTTTGTAGAAATGCGAGTGAGACAGAAGATAGACGTGAGATGTGCAAGAGGGGTGTTTTGACCAACAAATGAAAAAGCAAACAGAGGTCAAATTGGAAGTTTGGCATCCCAACTCATTCAATTGACAATAAATTTTTTTTTTTATCTTTTAATTAAACACAATTACCAATACCTTAGGGAATTTCAATAGCTAGCAACTCACTCTTTTCGCTATAGAGATTTCAATGTGCTCACAATACGAAGCGAAACATTATATATGTTATTTTATAATTTTAAATTTTTTTATGTGTCTAGTTGTAGTAATGATTTCTTAACTTTAATTCAATTCAAACAATAATCCATAAATTAAAAATTCATTATCATTAAGCCTCTAGCTCAGCAAAACGTGCAACTGTGTTCCCTCAACTAAAAATTTATTACCCTTTGTCCTCAACTTTAATCTAACTGGAAAAATGATCTCTCAACTTTAACCCAATTGAAGCAATGATCCCTCAACTTTAACTCAATTGTAGAAATAGTAATTCCAACATAACTCATTTTGACAAAATTCTGACGAAGTTGATGAAAAAGATCATAGCTAGAAGTTTTGATGAGTTGAGGGATCCCAATTGTAGCAATGGTCCTTTCAACATAACTCATTTTGACAAAATTCTGACAAAGTTAACGAAAATAATTATAGCTACACGTTTTAATGAGTTGCGGGACTAATGATAATAGATTTTTAGTTAATAGATCATTGCTCCAACTTGATTAAAGTTAAAGAATCATGTTTAGCTTTAATAGATGCATATAAACAAAATGTATAACATGTCACGTATTCCATTCATTTTTCACGAATTAGTAGAATCTCGACCAAATGAAGTCAAAATTGAGTTAAAGGGGCAAAGTTACGATTTTTTTTTAAAGATAAACATGAAAGGCTAAATGAAATTAGCAGAATCTCAACAAAGTGAAGGGGAAATTGGATTAAAGGGCAAGAACTTGTTTAGGTTCTAAGGTTTAACAGCTTTTACATCTAGTTAAAAATATGAAGAAAAAAAAAATTAATTACTTCATTTTTTTTCTTTTTTAATAAAAAATAGCATTATTGAATTAAGTTTTAGAAAGAAAAAAAAGAAAGCATGAGATCAAACCAATAATAAAATGCATAAATATCATATTACTTTTCGTGGTTCTACATTTTAATTATTCTATAGTTGTTGAATAAACAAATTGCTGGTTTGAAGAATACAGAGACTGACATTGGCTGAGACTAATCATGCCACTATATATACTTATATATACTGCTCCCATGAGGCCATATATATTTTGGTTTATGCAAGTGGGAATTGTCATTTTCATTCTCATACACTCATAGTAGGTTAAAGAGAGAGGAGAGAGAGGAGAGAGGGGAATTCCAGAGCTAGTGGGCGAAGAAGCCGCCATCTCTGATATCTTCCTACCAGTTTGCTGCTTGCTTCTGCTTCAGCTCCTCCATCTTCTGCTTCAACAGCAGGTCGGGTATCTCTCTCTCTCTCTCTCTCTCTCTCTCTCTCTCTTCATATGATATGCACATATAAAATACAGGAGATCAACCGCTAACCAGCTATCTTTCTCTTTCGAAATGTTAAAGTTCATCCTCAACTGTAACCAACAGATGCAATCAAGAGCAGTATATTTCCCTATGGTCATTTTGGTTTTCATCCCAAATCAATCTAATTGATAGACTAAAATTTTATTAGTTTAAATAATTTGATCAAGATTTTTAGCATCATTTATGATATTTAACTCATGCATTTATACATTTAATGTTCCACAAATTATGAAATTTAAGCAAATTTAAATAATATTTTAAATATAATAAATACTTAAAAATCAATTTTAGAGTAATATTGTTTTTCACAAAAATTATAGCAAAAAATAATGTACCCACATAATTATTAACTTATTTTGAAAAATAATTATTGATCTATTTTAAAACATAAAATAAATACATATAATTAGCATTGGTACATGTAGCAAAACAAAAAATTATGGATACAAATACAAATAAAAGTTTAAAAATTATGGTCACAAAAAAGAATTAATATATGGTTACAAATTAAAACTTAAAAGAAAATTTGTATAAATTAAAAGAAAGGTTGCAAATTAAAAATGGGTACAAACTAAAAATAAAAATGTATAATAAAAAATTTAGCTATAATTAAAATATACCAAATGTAATGTTTTTAACACTCATTGAATATATTTAGAAATAAAAAAAATATTTTATTATTAAAATAATTAATAACTTAGATTTTAATAAAAAATAAAAAAAATTAATGAAGTAGAAAAAATAGAAATGAGAACTTAATTTTTCCACTTCCCCGTCTGTTTGCTTAGTTTAAAAAAATTTAAAACACTGCTGTGGTTTGGCAATATTTAATAATTATTTATGCATTTAATATATTATCCATGATCAAACTTATTTAACTTTATGGAAAACTCATCAACTTGGGCCGCCACTTGATCGCACTGCATGCGGTGCAAGCTACGTGTCTTTACACCAATGTAACTTGGCAGAATCTGTGTATTCCTTCCCTTTCCTACCCAATTTGTATAACTGGTTAATATAAATTATAAGTTTTATTTTATGTTAAAGAGAGATAAATTTAGATTGATACTATCTACATACTTATTTTTATTTTTTATACATTTTTTTTTTAATTTCTAATCATCAGATAGAATGAATAAAATAAAATAAATAGAAAATAGCATTACCTTTTTCTTATTGATACGATTGCGAGGATGAGTATGAGTCTTTGATATGAACAATATTTTTCCCCTAACATTGAAAAGGAGAAAATCATAGTACTGGTTTGTGAATTATTACTAAATTGTAGTTTTAGTCTACAAATGAAAGATCTATTAAAAGTACTGTATGAGTTCGACAAATGTGAAGCGTTAATCCTTCACACTAACTCTGTAAGAATCTTTGGCCAAAATCCGAGAAGTACCTTTAAGAAGAGTAAATTAGAGAATTCCCCATATGCTCCTTTTAATAAGAATCCTTAAAGAATTAGCCTCAATAACCAGTGTTCCATATTTTGTTTATAGATTAAAGATACAATTGAGGTCGAGTTTTGGCGTAGTGGAAATGTTGATAATTTGTGATCCAAAAGGGTCACGAGTTTAAGTCGTGGAAACTTCTTTGTAAAATTAAGGTAATATTGCATACGTTAAACGTTCTTTGCCAGCTCTCATAATGCATAAAGTCTTATTGGTTTGAGCTGCCCTTTTTAGACTAAATGTATAATATAATGATAGTTCTTGGTAACAATTAAGTTATATATACTTTTAATTAAGTACATAATTAATGCCAATTAAAATTATTAATTAAATACCGATTCCATTATAACGTCAGTACAGCAACTCATCACCTACCTCCTCTTGCTTTAAACAAAAACAAGCCATCGAAATAATTACGCCAAGATGGGTGGGATGGTGATGGGTTCATACGTGGCGGTTTGACTTTCTGTATAATATGCGTACTTGTTTGAATAAGGTTACTGATAGGTAGGGTACAATTTTTAACTAGCCTATTCAGAGCACGAACCACTAATTGCCCATCTTTTTAGAAAGAAAAAAAAAAACTAATCGAATAGTGTGTTTTGTTAGACATAATAATGTGATTAGTTTAAGAATTGTCACAATGACATTTGATGTCATATCAAAATCACCAACTAACAAAGAATTAATCCTTTGTTCTTTCGCTATCGAGAAAAATCCCTCTCCATAATTACGGTAATTGGCCAACTGAGCAAGAATGTTTATCCATAAGTCAATCCCTTGATTTTTCAACCAGAAAAATATTAACAATCTAGAATTGTATATAAATATTTCAACACTAAAGCAGCTCAATGTGAATTCAACTAATATGATCAAAGACTTGGCCAACTCCAGGTGGGAAATTAAAAAAGTGGCCGCCATTTGATCATGCAACTTGGACAAAATATATTATATATATATACGTTGTCAATATATGACTAAAATCTAATGGTCTTCTTCTTCTTACATGCAGTGCATGATTCAGCCAATCGGAATGTGCTAGCTGGAGACTGAGACTTAGCTTGAGACTGAACTTGAGCTAGAAGCCGAACCGCTTACCGACAGTTCAAGTATTGGTCGTTTAAGTTCACGCCGTCGAGGAGAGCAAGTTCTGCACATGTACAATATGAAGATAAAGTTGATGATGAGGATACTATTACTCTGCTTCCTCAGCTGCTTCTGGTTTCAGCTGTCCTTTGCTCAAAATGCTACCGCTGATCCATCTGAAGGTTCTCTCTCTCTCTCTCTCTCACACACACACACACGCACTTTGCCACATTTAAGTGTTTTTGACCAGGAACTGGGTTTTTTTCCCTCAACAAAATGACATTTTAAGTGTTCTTCAACAAAATGAAATGAAGTTTCGAAGAAATTATTGTAAAGCCCTTTTTCTTCCCATATACAAAACATCCAAAAATTAAGGGTAATTTTCCTTTGTAATAATCAATTTGATCTTTCGTTTGGTTCGAGATAGTCTGGTAAGTGGTAGCACAAGTCAAATTATGGTGTGATATAATCTAATACACACAAGGACTGAATTAACTGAGAGTGCAGTGAGGGCGTTGAACTCAATATTTGAACAATGGGACACACAAGCAGTGCCGGGGCTGTGGAATATCAGTGGAGAACCCTGCAGTGGATCTGCCATCAACGGCACCGACTTTGATAGCCCCGATAACAACCCAGCCATCGTTTGCGACTGTTCTTACGACAACAATGCTACATGCCACATCACCAAACTGTATGTTAAACTACTCTCTCTTGATGAACAAGATTTCCATGCCACTGCTGATTTTTCACTTGCTACCTATATATATTAACGTCATAATTTGACTGTCTCGCTCCATTTTATGTAGTTCTAAATGTTCAATCTTTTTGATTTCCAGGAGAGTGTATGCTCTAAACAAACGAGGGGTGTTTCCAGAAGAATTTGTGGCTCTGAGATATCTCACATTTTTGTATGAATTTTTTTCAACTCCCTTCTCTGTTTTTGGTTCATCAAAATCATATATTGGAATTAAAAATTGTAGAATTATCAGAGAGATGGACAAA